TGGGAAATGCAACCACTGGTAAAAAACTACGGAAGTTGCAAGAAAAGTGTTAGGGGTAGAAAAACAATCATTCCCTGAGGAGAAAGCACAAAATCGGATTGTCTCTAATAAGCAGATTACAAAATCTCATTTTAAGAAAATCTGTCAGTTCTTCAAAAGGCACAGATGTTTGTTTAACATCTAGGGATATGACTTGAGACTAAGTGACCTCTAAACAATTATATATCTCAAATTCTTTTAGAGTCTAAGCTTACACCATAGTCTTAACACCCTTTCAAACACAGTGATAGCATTTAATAAATTCTGTAACTGTACAGTTTGTATAATCCTGTATCATAATGATGCATTAACACTAAGGGTCTTTTGATATCATTGCTCTAGAAACTATCACTGTTATGTGTCATGGGCTTTCTGCACCTTAGAGTGCTAATGAACTTTTCAATCCTACCCCCATGAAAAAGATATTGACTGTTTATTGCTTAGAATAAGAAAAAAGTTATGAACCTGTAGGTGCTGCCACCCTTCACAAGTTAATGACTCTGAAAGTTATGCACTCAAATAGAGCTTCTGAAATTGATAAGGTTCCTGAAGTAAAATGGAAGATGAGTGAAACTGTTTTTGTCTTACAGCTTCAAAATGTGTAGCTGTTTATCATGTAAAACCTTTAACTCCGTGAATCAAAACTCATGCACCAACTCTGACAAAAAGGGAAATAAATTTCTGTTGAAACTTTTGTCTCTTCCAAAAGAAAGAAAAATCTCTAAGAAACATGCTTCATATTTCTCTAAGTAGAAAGAAAGACAATGCTTATTATAAAAACTATTCTACCAAAATCACTGCCTCGTCTAGAGAAGTGTGCATAAATAAAACATATTTATTTACCCAACTATTTAACAGAAGTGTGGATTGGGAAAGATGTAGTTTCTTGTGAAAGCTGGTGACAAAGAGGGATCCAGAGATCTGCATGATTAAATGTCATTGAAGTTACACCTACTACAGAGAACTACACACCATATACAATGGCAATAATAGGTGTTCAAATATTGCTGCTCAGTTGTCTGAAGCCTGAGGATTCCTGAAGTACTAGACATATTTTCTGCAAGAAATTAGGGACTTTTTGGAGATACACAAGATTTTGGTGACAATCTGGCATCAAGAAACAACCAGTAGATGAGGAGGTCTCAGACACCCTTACCTTGGAAGACAGGCAACCAGCATCTGTATCAAAACATGGCCTTTGAAACTGCTTTTGGTTGCCAGAGTGCAAGATCAGCACTATCCAAGCCAGTGCTCAAACCCAGACAAAATACTTTAATCCTTCTGCCAAACAGTGCTGAAATGGGCACAACCCGTTGCCTTCAGCTGTGAGGGAAATGAGCTTGGAATTACTCTTCTTCTGATAAAATTCTTAACAACTTCAGTAGTGCCGTTATTAAGCTTCCAACAATGACTGTGGATGGGACACCTTCCTTCAGGCACTCCCAGCAAGACCAAGGAAGCTCAGGGACATTCACTTCCCCAGGGCTGGACCAGGCAGGGGTTTGCAGGCAGGGATGTAGCAGGGTGGACGCCTCCAAGGGCTCTCCCAGTCCTGAGGAATCTGAAGGCCCCGTGATCCTCTCAAACATTTGCAGTGCTGTTGCAACCTCCTGAGAAGAGATAGCTCACCACTCAACAGCTGTAGGGTGTCTGCAGCAGAACAAAAGGAAGAGCTGAGATTTTGGGTGGCTGGAGCTGTGAGGCAGCCAGAGCCTGCAGTTTGTCCCTGCAGGAGCATCAATGCCAAAGCTTACAGCCAGGTCGTGCCCAGCTCAGCTTTTGCCCTGCTCCTGCAAATCTCTTGCATGGCAACAGAAGCTGCCAAAGGGTCTGTGCTGGTGTGTCACACTGCTGAAATCTTCAGCTTTCCTTCACAGCTGTCAGCTTCATAATTTAAAGGCTCGCCAAGAGCCAAACTTCTAAGTCCTCGCTTTAAAAGATATGTTTCTATTAACCAAAAGTAAGAGGCATTTGCTCAGACAGCTACTGGGTATAGAGGCAAAGGACACTATTGGATATAAAAATCTACATCTATCTAACATACATGTTATCTAACATACAGCTCTCATTTCTTTTTCCATAAATCACCCCACCAATGAGCCAGGATATACATCATAGCCTGTGCCAGCAGCCAAGTTCCTGGGTGCTAGCTGATATTGCACACATCACGGCAGAGGCTCCTGACCTTGCAAAGGCAAAACACACATCACAAGCAACCAAGAGACAGGAACAAGGAGAAGGATAAAACTCTCTGTCCTACTCCTTTCCCTCCCCCAGTCACTGTGTACTTGTCTAGGGACTGAAAGAGGGCAAAGGGCTTCCATTCCCACCACAGGCACTGCCAGTGTGCAAAGCCAGGCTTGCCAAGGTGCTGCACAGACAACTTTGACCCTCACTGCATCAGATCCCTGCCAGAGAAGGACAGTCATGCAACAGCCCATGGAAATAAGAGCGGTGAGGCAACACATGAGGCCGAAGCAGGACAGGCAGTAGGAACTTCATAAGAAATTTAAATCAAGCAGCTCTGGTAAGTATTTGAGTTTAGACACACGTGCTGTTTGGTCTAGTACAAGAGTACTTTAAATACCTCTATTTGGTTGGGTTTGTGTAAGTAACACCATGCTCTCAGTTTCATTTTACACTTTCACTCCTCAGTTATGTGCTCATCTTGCATGCACTTTCACCCAAATACACACATAATCACCTGTCTGGCTGCATCAATCCCACTGGGGAATCTTGCAGTTGCAAGCATCCCTAAGAATAGAGTACAGTATGCTGCCTTGAGTGCACGTGTGTGCTGGTTTTCTATCATCTGTTTGCCTGCCCCAAAGCCTGCTGATAGAAACTGTCTTTGATCCTGAAAACACTACACATTTTCATTTTGCATTTGCAATTATACGCTTATCTTGGACAGGAAAAGGGAAACTTTAAATGCAGGGTTGGCAAAAACTTGTCTGCCAGCCAGTCTTCTATCACTTATTTGTGGCTTTTACTGCCTGGAAAACTGAAGAATAGAAATCCTTTGCACAGAATATCCCAACAGAGAAACAGAATGAAGTTAAGAAAAAACTGGGGGAAGCAGACAATTGTGGGTGCAGTTTCACAATACAGTTCCAGTTGATCCAATAGCTCACTGCTATCCAAATAGAAATTTTGTATCTTTTCCACCACATCCACTTCTTCCTCCTGGTTCCACATTCCCAACACCTATTTTCTGTAGCTTCTGGAAGACAGCAGCTCAGAAAATTAACCTACACACCAAATTGCCACACTGGATCTGCTTTCAGGAAGTCCAAGAAGTTACCTGAGCAGGCACAAAGGAGGTGGGTCTACACTGCTGGGTAGTAGGAAAAGGGCCAGAAGAAGAGCAGATCTCCCTGTTCAGCAGCAGCCAGACATTATTCACACTGACTTGTTCATGAACTCCCAGTCCAAGCAGATCTAAGCCACTTCTTATAGATTCATGAAGCAATGTCCATAGGTAACTTCACAGGATGGGCAATAATTATTTTGTATCTGCAAATCATCTTGCCCAAAAAGATGACTGTGTTTCAATACCTTAATAAATAAAATGATAAATGTAATTCTTGATTACAACACTGATAAGCTGATTCTAGGAACCTGATTTGATAACATTTCCTCCGTTTCTCCTTTGGGAAAGATTGCAAAGCTTTTGATTTTACATTTAACTACGAGGCATACAGAAAGATTAATGTGATCCTTATAGAAATTTTGTATTAGCCTGAAATCTTCAACTTTCAGTAACATAAATTAGGAACAACAGGATTCTTATTGACACTTGGATGCTCAACTCTGCACCAAACCCACCATGCAGTAACTGTGCCAGTGCATTCTGTCACCCTAAAGGCTACTTTGAAGCAGAATCTCAAGCTTGAAGGAGGCACTGGGGTGTACTGCAGCCAGATCACCAAAATAACATTTAGTTGCCAAACAGGAGTATCACTGGTGTGCATCACAACAGGCACTTCTCCTTACTTTGTGGATGTAAACATTAACAGTGTCTGTACTAGCAGCAATGATGGCATCTGCCAAAGCAGGGAACATTTCTATCACTTTTCAGTGTTTGTCTGGCATCTGAGAAAAAAGGTTTTAAAAATTCAAGAAAAAGCTACTGGGAAAATAATTTTATTATCCCCTTCTAGTTACTTATATAAAACATTATAGTGAGATTTTTATTCCTGAATCACAAGATGGTCCATCACCAAATGAACATTATTAAAATTACTTTTTCTTCTCTGTATAGGTACAGCTGGCATATATAGCCAGCATACACCACAGAATTAAAAATTTACTGAGACAAGCATTTTTGTTCAAGACTCCTGTGCTGCTCACAACTCGAGTCACACAGCAGTGTTAATTGCTGCTGGCACTGACAGTAGGGAACCCCTTCCATCTGCTGGGACCAGCTGATGCAAAATAAAAGCAGTCCCTTGGAGTGAGGCGCAGCTCTGCGGGGTCAGTGCCCGGCACCGCTGCCAGTGCCGGCCGGGCTGTGCAGGAGCGCTGCCCTGCGCTCGCCTCGGTTCTCCACGGGGTGCTGAGACACTTTGTCTCTTCTGGTTTCTTTGGGGGTTTTGATCTTTAAAAACGCCGCTCTCCTGCAGCGTTTGATGCCTTTAGTGACGCAGCAGCCTCTCCCCAGCCGCCTGGCGTTCCACGCAGGGGAGCAGAGGTGCCCGCGGCAGAATCATTCCCCCGTGCGCTGCTTCACCTCCCCGGGCTCGCAGCGCCGGAGGCGGCCCCGCGTCCTCGTCGCTGCCGAAAGCGGGGCCGGAGCCCGGGGCCGCGATGGAAGCAGGGCAGGTGCTCCGGTGCAATGAAAGTCCGCAGGGACAGACCCTCACCCTCCGCCTCCCAAACCTCCCCCTCCCGCCGTCAGCGGGGCTGCTGCTGACCCCGGGTACGCGTCCCCTGCAAAGCGGGAGGAAGGCACCGCTTACCGGAGCTGCTCGCCGGTGAGCAGGACCTCGGCCATGTGCTCCAGCTCCGCCGCTTTCTGCTGCATGCTGCTCATGCCCTCCTCCATCGCCGCCGGCCTGCGGGCACAGCACCGCCGGGTGAGGGGGGACCGGGACTCGCCGCCCCCCGGCCGCGCTGCCCCCGCCGGCGGCTCCGGGGCGCCTCCCGCCCGGCTCCGGAGCTCTTGGCGGGGGTGACGGGCAGCGACAGCCACGTCCTGCCGCTCCGGCTCACCTGAGCGCCTCAGGTCACTTTTCCCCACGGCAGGCTCGGATCCCTCCCGCCGCTTCCCGTGTTATTGTGTCACTGGCAGGCGGAGAAACACATGGCTGCAGCCGCCGCGCCGCAGCCGGGCTCGCCGAGGCAGCAGCGGCCCCCCCCGGCTGTCACACGGCAGGGTCGGCGCTGCCCCCGCGGCAAGGGCCGGCTCCTGCCGGGGGCTGCAGCCAAGCGGCTGCTGCCGCTGCCGTCCCCGCCAGCCCCGGCCCGGGAGGCAGAAAGCGCAGCGCTCCCCGCCCGTGGCTCCTTCCCGCGGGTGCAAAGTCCTGCGGCCCCCCTTCAGCGCGGGGCTGCCGGGAGGACGGGCTGCTCGGAGGAGCAATGAGCTCGGGAGAAGCCGATCCGACTGCGCGGGAGGAGATGCGACTGCTGCCCGCTCAGTAGTGCGGACTGAGCCTTGGCAGTGATCCTCGGAGATGCAGCGCGGGGCAGGTAATAGAAAGGGAGCTGGTGATATGGTGTTTCAACCTCAAAAACTGCTACTGCTCTCCTGCTGTCCATATTTCCACTTATCTGCCACCCAGGGTCCAAACCCTGGTCCCCTGCTCACATCAACTCTTTGTCTCCAGGCGACAGAGGATGCAGAATTCTTGAGGGCCGACAAACATTTTGTCTTGGAAACGGGAAATAAATTGCAAGGTCACAACACTGTCAACATTTTTGATGGGGGAAAAAAAATCACCCTTTTCTTTAAAAAAGTCCAGGAGGAGGCATCTTCTGCAGTGGTCCAACCGTGGTTTTCATTTGCAAACACATGCAATACCTTGATTGCCTACTCATTGCCTTTATATCTGTCTGCACATACTCTGCGTGCATGGAAATTGTGTCTGCTAAAGTTCTTGCAATACTGTCATCGATTCAGAACCAAAATGATAGAACCACAAGAAAAACTAAGAAGGAATCAGGCAAACCTAGTAGTAACGAGAGTGCAGACAATGGGAAGAAGGTGTTGTTTGTATTGCCCATAGTAGAATTGTACCATTTATTACCAAAGGTGGCTCTGGATGTAAAAGAATGGACTTGGAACAAAGGAGAAAAATACTTGGAAAAGAAATCTACAGAGGGCTACTAAGCAGACAGCAGCCACATCCAGCTCAGGAAATTCTCTGTTCTAAAAATAATGGTCTCACAAGACAAGCACTTGTGTGACATTTCATATGTGCTTTCCCTGCTGCTCCCTTCGCATCTGTTAATAGCCACTGAGATGAACACTGGACTACATGGACCTTTGGTCCAATCCAGTAGAGTCCTTTTAATGAGCACCTTTGTGGGTCTCAAAGAGCACTAGATATCCATGAATAGTAAAGGGAGAAAAACACAATCTGCCTTCTTTCATTTGGGCCAGAGAGAGGGACACCTTAGGACTGTAAGCACTACAGCTTGAGATTACTTTCTGTAAATTTGGAAGACATGCATTTAACCTGAATACTTGCAAACAGCCTCTAATTTCAGTCAAACTGCAAGCATACAAAGTACAGATTCACAGAACTGGAAACAAAAAGAGAATTGAAACAACCATCTCATATGACCATATCTTTAAGACAAAGAATGTACGCAACAATTTTTATCGAGCACTTTATCACATGACTGAAAGAAAGACAATTTCAAGAGAATGTACATTGCAGACCATTTCTGGGTAAATCCTTGGCTCTATCACCTGGGTTTGGCTGATTTCATCCATTCACTGCCGCTAAAAGGAGATACACTCTTCTTCCAGGCTCTGGCAACACAATCTGAAATGTGTCTTATGTTCATTTTCCCACTTTCAGGTTCTCTGCTTGTTGCAATTCAATTCACTAAACAGGCAGAAGAGTAACAGAAAGTGGAAAACCTTCTTCTCAGCTAGTAAGTAGAGCTGTGCAGATGATTGCAGGGTGCAATGAGTGCCAGAGTTGACACCAAGGTAGAGAGGGCCTTGGCAGCTCGAAACAGGAACAAAAGAGGAGGAAGAGGGAGAAGAAGCTGTCTTCATGCAGTGACAAAGTATCGTGATAGGGTGCTTGTGGAACTGCAGCCTGAAATCCATATCCTTCCCTGTGCAGTTTTGCAACTTGCAAAATGCAGGCCAGTGCAAATTCCTGTACTAGATTATTTAATGATTACAGAATTTCATGTTGGCCTTTGCACAGTGATATCCCGTTTGTAATTTGTTCCACATGTTCACACTGAAATTTCTTACAGTTACAGTTATCCTGAGAGGAGGGAATTGGCTATCAGTTACTTCAAGTCTGCTTTCCCCAAAAAAGGGTAATGACATAACCTTGAAGGGTCACTTTGCAGGCAAGAGTCTGCAAAAAGCTACACAAAATAACCTGGTGGGATGTTTGCAACTTGTTTTTAATCTACAGACTGCTGTAGAACATAAGGTCTAACAATAAAGTAGGCTGTGTTGACCCTTCCTCCTAAGCAAGTGGTCATAAAGACTAAAATGCTCCTCTAAGAGATGGGACAGCATGTGCAGAGTTTGAAATCCTAACAGCAAGAGAGAGAGAGGCATCCCTCTGAGACAACCTCTGGTACATAGATTGATTTATTTTCTCCGGTACAGGATAAATTTTAGAAGTTGGTGCCTATTTTAGATATGAATACCTGAGTGTTACTTTAGCATGGCTGAAGTGAAGTGAGATGGAGGTAGCTAGCCACCAGTAAGGCACTTCTCAGCCAGAAGCATGACAGATCTTTGAGCTGGAGCCCTGGGACACTTTAAAACTCATCCTCCACAACATTAAGAGAGTAACAAAAGCTGCATAGGTCTGCCAGAGGGTTGGTATCACAGGTGTGAGGGGTAGCTCAAGTGTCTTTTGGTGACATTAGAGGCTCTCTGCCATAAGGCAGTACACTTGAACCACCAAGGTCACAACGCTCTGTGGAACCCCATGCATGAATAGGCACATTGTATTAGAGTATTGAGTTTAGAAAACATGTTAGTAAGTTGTATAAACTTTCTTATCTCATTTAGTAACTGGCCAAGTGGTGAAACACTAAATGTTTACATAATGCAATACGAATATTGCTTTCACTGCTTTGAAGACTGTTGTATCTGTGGCCTACATTTTGACTCAATAAATACATCTGATAATTTGGTAAATTAATTCTTTAGCCTCACTAGTCAATTTTCTGCAAGCTTATTTTAACACAAGACATCCTCATGAAAGAATTGCAAGTATTCATGTCTATACTTCTCATTTCTCCTATAGCATTGCTCTTAAGTCCCAGATAAAGTTGTTTGGCTTTCCCTTGCTGGGATGACTAGAACTTTTTAAACAGGAAAATTACACAGAAGCAAAAGATGGTGAAGCACTTTAGGGACAAAAGGCACTAGCAGGTAAGCTGTTGGATGGTTGTGGGGGTTTTTTTCCCTAGCATCTTTTGTATAAGAGACAGAATTATATAAATATGAAATTTAAAAATACTCGCTCACTCCCTTTGCTGAGAAAGACAAGTACAAAATGTTTTTTGGCTTTTAAGTTGACCTCTTATCTAAGTAGCTCTTGCAACACTCATGGAAAATGAGTGTGAAGGGTTTTTCCTATATTCCCATGCTTACTTGCAAAGAGAGCTCCCTTGTCTTTGTGTTTCAACTGGTTGACTTCCTTAGCACTCGAGGCCTGGGAAGGGGCACTATAGGAACTACCAGGTATTGTCCAATCTCCCCTCCTCTTTTCAGGCTATGTACAATAGTGTTTCCCATACATGGAAGTGCACAGATTACATTCTTTGCTGCTCTAAGTTTGAACCATTTAAGTTGTCTGGTAGGAACTGGTCGTAAGAATCAGTGCCTGTGTGATTCAAATAATACATCTGGCCAAGCTAATTTTAGTCCTGTGATAAACCATAGGAAAGTTAGTAAGTAGTAAGTGTTAAAAAAAAAAATAAAACAAAGAAACAAACAAACAAAAAACCAAAGAAACCAAGGATATGTGTTAAAATTCTCTTTTTCTATTATTGTATCCAAGTTCCTGCAAAAGCCTCCATGGTGAGATAAGAGAAGGAATTTTTCCTAGTCTGTCCAGCTTTTCAGCACTAGAGAATCATATCTGTTTATATTCTTATATTTCATGTGTTACTGACCTGGTAGTTGTTGTAATAGTGAGCTGAAGTGGAGAGAAAAAGGCATTTTTATCCTGACATATACAGAGACAACTTGAAAGGGGTTTTCTAAGCCTGTCCCTATATAGCTTTTCCATTTTGCATTAAATATTCAAAGACTCACTCAGCCAGACAGAGGTAGCAAGATTTCTGTGCAGACTGACAGCTAAGGCATGACCAAGAGATGGGTACCTGCTTTAGTGCTTGCTCTTGTGAGGAGCTAAATATTTTATAGAAACAAGCATCTTCACTAAGATAAAAGATCAGAAATTTGCATCAGACCAGTAACCCAAATAATTCCAATTGACAGTAGGTTCTGTTAAACCAGCATTTTGCACTACCCAATGCATGCTGCTCTCTACTTTATTATACCTGGAATATTTTCTAATTCCTCTTATTTCATATAGTTGTTTTCCCATTTCAAATTTTGAGCATCACAAAAATATTTACAAGCCTAAAAGCACCTATAAACCTGTTTGAAACCTCAGGTTTATCTTTGAAAAAGTTCATATGTATTACCAGTAGTTCTTTTTGTTTGCTTGCTTTCTCTTTATTTTATTCTGTATTTTAACCAATGGCAATTATGACCGTGTACAATTCAAGTTTCATCTATATCATATGTTCAGTCTGGGTCATAGTCCTAATATCCAGCCTAATGTATGGACTGGGAGGTCTGAGTCAGCTGGGAAGTGTGACTAAGAGCTGAAAAGGAACTGCTTTCTAAACCACTTCTCACATGTGAAGACAACACCTTCTAGCTCTGTGCTAAAAGACATCTTCTTAAGCCATGCCCCAGCCACCTCTGTGTTAATGCACTCTGATGTCTGGCCACAAGATTTAAAATGTTTGCTTAAAGCTCTGTGGCTTCAACTGGCGGTTTGACACTGAGTCGTGATCAGCCCTGAACACTCAGGCACGGGTTGGTTTCCTTGTTCTCTGGGAGACAACACCTAAGAGTACAGACTCAGTCTAAGACTCCTTAGTGTCCTTTGCTATCTATTTCTGCTTCTCAGAAATGGCAAGTTCCTGTTTGTTTCTCTTTGCACGCTGCCCACGATGGAGCACACTGTGCCCTCGGGCACCTGGCTCTGTTTCCTAGGGTGAGCATCAGAGCCGCAGGATGCGGGGGAGGTGGTGGGTGCAAGCGTGCAGGGTGCGTGTCTCAGGGGATGTGTGCTCCTGCTGGCAGCAACAGAGGCAAACAGTTTGACAGAGTCCCAAGAGCTGCGTCTGTGAGGCACAGAGTCGTAGGCCACCTCCCAGGCTGGGGCTCCAACGCTGTGTCTGTCCTTCACCACATCCCACCCTGTAATTCATGAGGTGAGGCCGTGGGGCACACAGACATCCCGCGCCTGAGGCTCACCCACCAGCAAAGCCGCTCCTCCGGCTCACAGAGGGCACAGGCAGCAGCAGAGCACGGTGACAAAGTGCCACCGCTGCTAAGGGACATGCGACAAACCGCTGGCACGGCTCGGCCCCCCCGGGACAATCGCACCGCAGGGCGCCGCCTCACCCGGTCCCTGACCACATAAAGAACTGCGGCCAGCGCTCAATCGCTCTGCCACCCTGTGGCTCTTTCAAGAATTTAAGTATGAAAATGCCAATTAGAAAATTGTAGTGAATCGATGCTCTGCAAAAGAAAAAGACTGTTAAATTAAGCTAATTTTATAAAGGAATAATCTTTAGACAATACAATCTTTACACACAATTAAAAACACAAACATATTTGACTCCATCATTAATTTCCCTCCCCAATGAACACCAAAAATAACTGCCAATCTAGTAAAAATGAAAAAGTCAGTAAAACACTGGATAATTCAATATTC